AGCTGCACGGCAAAAACGCATAACAAAAAACTATTTCGAAAATCAATTTTGAAAACGTGCTAGTTGATGTTCCTGTGCCGAATGGCAAGAGAAGCCCAGGCTGGAACGCATCGGGCGGGCCCGTGCGGTCATGCGTTTTTGCACCTGACTTGAATTACTTAGATGATTAACTCTATGAATGGCTCTTGCTTTATACCTACCTTTTGCGGTCACTAGCGTAAATGATCATAAATTTTGCGTAAAGTAAATGTACAATTTCCATTTAACAGTCGCTCTTTAAGATTAACCTAGCTGTTCAGTGAGAAATTTTTTCGTCAGGACGTTTAAGTGCCCTGCCCATACGCAAGAACCACGCATACCTCAAGGTTGAATTGAAATATTTAAGTTGTACTTGGACAGGGAAAGTCCCCTCAAAATTTCAGTTTTCCAGCTTTTCTGGTTACCGACTTAGCAACTTTCCCGCCAAAACCTTCACATATCCGTACCTGGGTACTCCACGTGCTTGGAAAGCTGAATTTGAAATTTTTAAATTGCACGCGGACAGGGAACGTCCGCCAAAAATTTCAGCCTTCCAGCTCTTCTGGTCGCCGAATTAGAAATTTTCCTGCAGAAAATTTCATACGCCCTTACGTGAATGGAATGCATAGCTTGGGGGCGAAGTTGAAATATTTGAGCTGTATTTGGATAGGAAACATTTCCCCAAGATTTCAGCTTTCTAGCTTTGCTGGTACTCAAGTTAGCAATTTTCCCCCCAAAACTTTCATACGCTCTTACGTGAGTATCACGTACAACTGGGGGGCTGAATTTGAAATCTTTAGCTGGTACACGCACAGGGAATATCCTTACAAAGTTTCAGCCCCTTAGCTCGTGTGATTCCCGAGATCTCTTTCCCGCCAGAAAATTTGCATATTTTTTTAAAACACCCGTACGCGGCACCCAGGCTCCAAGGGGGATGAAATTAAAACGGGAGGGTCGCGCATGTTATAGGCACATATCCCCAAAGTTTCAGCCTTCTAGCATTTCTGGGTCTCAAGTCGAAAGTGGGTGACAAAAAGTGCGAACACACAGACACACACACACAGCCTCTTCCCAATATGCGTTTTTGCAATTTACATATATGCAAAAACGCATAAAAAAGTACGTTTAGATCGCAAGCTGAGTACTCACTCCCCGTGTATAATGGGCAAAATAACGAGTGAGGTAAAAGAGAGGCGAATACTCCAAAGACATTATAAGCAAGATGGGAAATACTGGGATTCGATTAGCAGCTGCAGCGACGAAGCAAAAGCGGTAAACTTCATCATTTATTCAATCACATTGCTTCACGCACGCAGTGTTTGGTATCTCAACAGATTACCTCCCCATCACTGGTGAGATAATTTCAAAAAAAATAAAACATTCATTCCTTTGCAAAAAAAGATCTCTTTGCCATCCATTCTTGGTCACTCACGCTTCTGGAAATTTCTCAAAGTAGGCATCTTTTCCCGGTTTAAAAAAAGCGAGGGATCTGAAGTGGGGCTCAGCATGGGGCCCTTCATTCAGCTTGATAATACGAAACCCTCGTGCTTTTTCCATTCATTTTCCAGGTTGTTATAATACTTGAATTTGTGCGCCTCTGTGCTGCTTACTAGCTATTCCTCTACGAAACTTAACAGGACTTCTCCCTCACTGATTATAGCTGCAAAATTTTCATTCCAGCTCGGTACATTTTAGTGGCTCAGTACTTTCAGTAGAAATGTGCATGCGATCACCTCACTTTGTGCTTATACAACTTTATCACAAGATAGGAAAGCTGGCGTTAGCTCTGTCCACTACGAGAGCATCTGGAGTTCAGCCTGGTTGTGGCCTATTATCACTGCCGTGACACAGTGAGTGAATGCATGAGCAGCTAATTTTTAACGTCCAATAATTCCAAATTGTAAATCCGACTCACTCACTGGCCACCCTATTGATGCAGTGAGTATTCATTTATTTGAATTCGGTGTCAATGGCTTTAAGGCATCAAAAATTTCATTTTCGTGGTGGCTTACTTACTTTTCGCGCCATATTCTCCGGTGGAGTTAAACCCTGAGTACCAGCCACAGTCATATTTGAAGCCAGACAAGATTTCTCAGGCGACCAAACACTATTCCGTGTGAAGACAAAGCCTCCAGTGCAGTCGCCCTCATAGAGAAAATGTGCGCAAGGAAGAGAAGCTGGACTGGCCAAGTGATACGAATGATAGACAAAGGTGGGATGAAACGAATGGTATCCACGGTATTAAAGGAATAGTTTGAATGCCACCGGCGCATCGCGCTAATTCACTAACTCGAATGTATGGAATGCTCTGGATCTGGAAAGCACAAGATTGTAGCTGATGCAAAGGTTGTCGACCACAGAGATGGAGAATTAGACTTTAAACTGACAGCTGTTCCAGGTGTTTCGAATTTTCAAGCTTTCTGAACTGTTCTTAATCTGGCCCTGACACGAGAACTAAATATCCCTAATCAGTGCAGAATTCACTAGTTGCTGGTCAAGAAATAACTGCCCTATGTGCTCGGAATTTCATCTTCCTGCCTTTCGTAGCTCTGATTTTGAATTAAACGGACAAGCAAACGCAGACACATACACATAGACAATGTTTTTTTTTTCCTCGTTTTTTTTCACATATCGATTATGTCACAAGGCACAAAAGTGCAAAAATGCAGAAAGTCATTGGGAATCGATGCTCAAGTAGAGCAGGATCGCTGGGTTTCCGTTCCTCGACGAGAACATGAGGTGAATGCTCACGCAGTCTGAAGTGCCAGCTGGACATGGATAGGAACTGGGAAGGGCCAGGCGCAAATGTTATAATTGCGCAAGGACAGATGGCAATCGACTGGATCAACTGGGGCAAAAGTCGTGGACGAATTATCATTGGGCAAGAAAAGCAGACTGACGTACAATTGGTGCTCGAAGCAAATCCACAGTACTTGTTCTCGGTCAATGAACTAGAAACACATGCTAAGTCCAGGAAGCTTCGCAAAAAAAAATCTATTCCTGGATGAAATCTAAAATCCTGGATTGCACTTTTCTAGAACCAATTCAGTCACTGTGTTACATATTCAGTCATATCTGAAAATACGCATTTTCAAAAATCTGGTGATTCGTTCTTTGCTTAACAGCACTTTTCCAGTTGTCATCTGTGAGCATGAATTTACTGATCTTCGAGCTTCTAAACAACTGAATAATGGAACTTCATTAATTACATTACTGACAACTGAAGGGCAACCTTCCAAATTCATGCAAAATAAAGAACACAGAGAAGCGAAAAAAAACGTTTAAAAACAATAAATTTTTTGTTATTACTGAAAATGCTTGTTGCAGAAAGTATCCTAGAAGCACTAGGCTAGCTTTCCAGGCGGAACAATCATCCTGGATAAGCGTCAAATGAAATTTCCCACTGCTTTTCAAAATAACACGCAAATTTATCGATGAAATCCCGTAAACAAGTCTGAAGATGTGCGAAGAACTATTTGCCAGCCTCAGCAGTACATTTTAAAGCATTCATTTAAGCATCGAGTGCTAGCAGAACTGCGATGCAGCTGGCATTTATTCCGGCTGTGCAACTAAGACAAAGCAGTCTTCAAATGATGTGGTACCTTCACACAACATCGAAAATTAAATTCTTTTTTAAACTAGAAAAAATATTTGTTCGGTTTAGGCAAAATTTCTTTCCTGCTTTCAGTCTTTCTCGCAGATGCACAAAAAGTCAATATAAGTAGCTGCAAGTTGATTAAACCAAACAACATTAAAGTAAGAGAACAGTAATATACAATGGGCAGGCAGCAATCAGAACCATTAGTGAGAATATATATATTTATACATACATAATCCTTTTAATCATATATATATATAGCAAGAATGATTAGAAGGAAGTTTCAGCCCACTATGCTATATACGTCTTATCTCGGATCTCCACAGCACAACAGCTGCGGTGTAAATTTACATCTGTATATACAATATTAAGACAAATTGCTGAGCTAATAAGTTAAAATTAGCCTCGCATAGACAAACTTGGTATGTATGCTAAGATTGGCATAAGTGTGGATCGTAAAAACATTGAGTAGTCGAAAAATCAAAATGAGCTTTCCCTCTTTTCTGCATCGTAATTTTACGCCCATGTTTAAGCGGCTAAATGACTCCAAAAGCAAGGAAAGAATTCTAAAAGTACTACATATAATTGGACTTGAATTCACTCTTTTGCCTTTTTTGCCTTTAATTAAGATGTAAATTCATGCTATCCAGCACGGCGTGCCTGCAACGACTTTGCTGGGAGGGGCACTCAGTCATGCTTCTCCTATGTTGTTCACCTGCAGTAACGGAAGCTGTTTCCCACAAATAAAAAGAAATGAAATTGAAAAATGAATATAAATGTGGTATGAAATCAGGGTAAGGCGGAATAAGACGTCAAAATGAGGGCATGATGGGGGCTACAAGAAAGCTCAAGAGATGTGTCTAATCATCGAATCAAAGCTCACACACACACACACACACACACACACACACACACACACACGCATGCACACACATTCACACACATCTACGCATTCAAGCACATAGTTCTCGCTTTAAAATTTCGAGTTGAGTTCTCATATAATATAAAAAATTCACAGTATAAATATACAAATAAGCTGGCACTTTTATATAATTCTATTTCTGCTGCTGGCACTGCTATATATATACATATATATATATATATATATATATATATATATATATTTGTTTGTTTGTTT